ACTTTAAAGCAAAACTCTCTAAGAACTGTTTGCATATAAACAGGTAATTTCAGTCATTATTTGCCAATAAAATTAGATTTTCAACAATAGCAATCAATGAGTGCTGAAAAAAACATGACACATAACCCATGTGGTACAGCTCAGTGAATTGGTTTCCCGACACCAACCACTCCCACCCCAGTTCCAGCCATGTATCCTGGACTCCGCTTGCTCATCTGCAGGCCCATGACCAGCATAGTGGGTGCTGCCAGGTAGGAGGGAGGGAGCTGAGCAGACATGCGTCCGCTCTCCTCCTCCCCTTCTTGTTGGTGACTCTTGTTTATTGGATATCTATTTACTTGGTGCAACCTCATCTTTTATATTTTACAAAAATAATTGGATAATTTATTGCGTTTGTGTGCCCCAAAATTAGCTTTATTGTATTTTGCATTTTTCAGACCTTTGCGTTAGTATTGTGTGATATAAAAAATTGGAACTACCACTTTTTTGTTCTCTAGGGTGTCTGCTTTCAGAAAATATGTTTTGGGGGTTTGTGCAATCTTCAGACCTCAAATGATTTTTTGAAACGTGTGCAAAAAAAAATAATGCAAAAACGGTGTTGACAGCGAAAGGGTTAAACTGAGAAAATGTTCCATTTTAAGAAAAAAATCAGGTCATTTTGAAATTGATGGCAGCAACACTTCTCAAAATAGTTGGAACAGGGTAACATAAATCTGGGAATGTAAGTGGTATCAACAAGGAAGAGCTAGAAGAACACTTTGCAACTAATTGCAAATAGTTGCAAAACATGGTAGGGTATAAAAAAGAGCATCTTAGAGAGTCAGAGTGACCAGTTTCTGGAGTTTTAGGAGAGGAATCAGGTCCCATTCTTGCCTAAGCATATGCTTTGCTCTAAAACCAGGATATCATTCTGTATTGATGATGCCTATTCAGATGTGCAAGCTGTCCATTCCATACACACTAATGCACCCCCCTCATACCATATTGTTTTGTTTATAGCGCACAAAATAAGAAAACACACAGGCAATCAAATAAAACTGAAAGAAATCTCTATTTGTAGGGAAAAAAAGGACATAAATTTAATTTATGTACAGCATTGCATGACCGCGCAATTGTCATTTAAAGTAATGCAGCGTATCGCAAAAACTGGCCTTGTCAGGAAGAGGGGTAAATCCTCTGGAGGGCAAGTGGTTAAATCGTAATTCATTTTCATAACCGTTCTATATATAAAACCAAATGAAAAGAACTTATATAATAAAAAAAAAGTAATGAATAAATTGAAAAAAAATTCAAAGCGTTTATTTGCCTGAATCATTTAGGTGATTACCTCCTTCTTCCCTGCTGTGTTCTCTGTGGACCCTGGAGAGGATGTTGTTGCTGACAGCAAGAAGAATAACGGATTACTTAGAAAGGACTATCAATCATTCTGGGTGGGAGGTGCAGCAATTTGTGTCTTCTGGCATCCAGACAAAAAAAAAGAACTCAGACTGCTTGATGTGGGGTGTAGAACTCCCTGGATTCTAAAAATGTAAGCCTTTAAAATAAATATGTTATGTAAAAAAAACCTGTCAGGTATAAAGTGCAGGTATTATACGTACAGAAGGCTTCTTTAAAGTGGTTGTGAACCCTTCCATATATCCAGTGAAGTGACTAGCCTCAGGTGATACACAGAGATGAAACAAAGCCTCCTACATGAGTTGTACATGTTTACCTGCAGCACTCTCTTCTCTACATCCCTTAAACATTGCAGAATTTATTCAGCTTGTCTGAGCCTACAGGATCAGAGGGCAAAGAGCTGAAATTACACTCTGCAGGGCTCAGTGAGGAGAGCTCTGAGAGCTGATTGGAGGGAAGAGACACACACCCTCCACACAGTTCACAGGAACAGAGCTGAGGCTGTCAATCTGCTGGAGGTCCCTCCCCTTTCACCATTTTTCTCTTGGTGTGGAAAACTTATCAGAAGTGATTCATGCAGATAGCTGAGGAACAAGACAGCAGACAGAAATGACACTTAGTGCTCTTGATAGCGACAAGTACACACTATAGAGGGATGTGTTTTGTTCATATTTCATGTCTGAGGTTTACAACCATTTTAAGTCCTGGCATAACAATGGAACACAAAGTTTTTCTGATGCTTAGCGTTCCAGCACTTCCTGGTAGTGCTGTTGCTTACCAGCCCCATTTCACCTCCTATACATTCCCATTGGCCATAGAGGCAGCCCAACATAATGGGCCAATAGGAATGTTTGGAAAGTGGGGGGGACTGGGCAAGCTTCACCACTACCTGAAAGTGTTGGAGCTTTGCACGCCACAAGTACCTGGCATTTGAAGTGTAATGGCATTTTTTACATTTTTAGATATAGTGTCAATTTTTTATCTTGCCATCTGTGGCCCATTGGGAGAATTTCCATGCACTTCCTGTCCCATAGCTAAAACAGAAAGTGAGAGAATATTCCTCCACAGTGAGGGAACCTGCTGCTGCCCCCATTGCAAGATTTCCCCTTTATTCCTGTTCTTGTGACAACCCAAAATTTGGGATTTTCTCACTTTTATTGTTGGCAAACAGGACAAATAGAGAGGGTGAATCTCCCTTAAGCTGGCCACACATTATACAATTTTCGTATTCAATTTCCTTTAGATTTACCTTTAACTATGTAGTACAAGGGCCTGCCTGACTGGGTACAAAGTGAAAGTGTTTAGGTTTGACCTCATATTATATGGTTTTGGTAAATCTAAAGGAAAATTGTACAAGAAAATTGTATAACCATTTGAGATGTGGATGGTTTTACCCCCTTCATGACATGGCCAGATCTAGGGGGTGCTGGGGTGGACTGTGCCCCCCCAGATTTCAGTTGTGCCCCCCCGCAGGCTAGGTGCCCCCTTCCTCCCATGTACATTGTGGCATGCCCGCTGAGCAGTCCAGACAGGAGTGGCAGAGAGGAGAGAGCGGGGAGGAGATGCGGGCTCTTTGTGATCTCCCACCTCCTGTCATAACAGCGATCCTCCATACAGCAGGTTACATTGGATCACTATTACATCCGATGGTACACGGCTTCATTCCCCACCCCCATCCACATTTCCAATAGTTGAGCAGTCTTTGGAGGAGATGGGGGTGGGCAATGAAGCCGTGTACCATCGGATGTAATAGTGATCCTATGTAACCTGCTGTATGGAGGATCACTGTTATGACAGGAGGTGGAGATCACAGAGAGCCCACATCTCCTCACTACTCCTGTTCTTCATACATGTAAGAATGGGGGAGGTGGGGGGGGGGGGGCTGTTTGTGCTGGGAATTGTAATTGGGGGGGAATGTGGTAGGAGGCAGGACTAGGGAAGATTTGTGCAAGGAGGGGGGAGGATTTTATGCTAGGAGGGGGGGAGGGGAATTGGAGGGAGGGGGAAAATGGTGCTAGGAGGGGGAATTGGAGGGGAATTGTGCTAGGAGGGTGGAATGGGGGGAATGATGCTAGGAGGGGGGAATTGGAGGGGAGTTATGCTAGGAGGGGGGAATTGTGGGGAGGATTTGTGCTGGGAGGGGGAATTGGAGGGTAATTGTGCTAGGAGGGTGGAATTGGGGGGGGGGGGAGATGGTGCTAGGAGGGGGGAATTGGAGGGGAATTATGCTAGGAGGGGGAATTGTGGAGGAGGATTTGTGTTAGGAGAGGGAATTGGAGGGGAATTGTGCTGGGGGGGATTAGTGCTAGGTGGGGGGAATTGGGGGTGGTATGTGCTACTAGGGTGATTTAGGTATGCAGGGATTTGTGCTGGGAAGGGTAATTTGTAGGCAGTTGTGCTAGGAGGAGGAATTTGGGGGGGGGGGGGATTTGTACTAGAAGGGCGGATGGGGGATTTTTTACTAGTAGGGGGGAATTGTACTAGGAAGGGATTTGGGAAGGAGAATTTGTACTGGGGGAGGATTTGTTCTGGAAGGGGGGATTTAGGAGGGATGATTTGTACTAGGAGGGGAGATTTGAGGAGAGGATTTACGCTAGGAGTGGGGATTTGGGGGAGTTGGTTTGTGCTAGGAGTGGGGGAATTTGTACTAGGAGGGGTGATTTGGGGAGAGGATTTACAATAGGAGTGGGGATTTGAGGGAGTCGGTTTGCGCTATGAGGGGGGGAAATTTGTACAAGGAGGGTTGATTTGGGGAGAGGATTTACGTTAGGAGTGGGGATTTGTACTGGGGGAGGGATTGGGGAGAGGGTTTGTACTAGGAGGGGGATTTGGGGGAGTTGGTTTGTGCTAGGAGTGGGGGGAATTCGTACTAGGAGGGGTGATTTGGGGAGAGGATTTACGATAGCAGTGGGGATTTGGGGGAGTCGGTTTGTGCTATGAGAGGGGGGGAAATTTGTACTAGGAGGGTTGATTTGGGGAGAGTATTTATGCTAGGAGTGGGGATTTGTAGTGGGGAAGGGATTGGGGAGAGGGTTTGTATTAGGAGGAGGATGTGAAAGGAAAGAGGATGTGTGCTAGGAGTGGTGAGTTTTGGGGCATGGAAGATTTGTTAGGGATTGGGGGATTTGGGCTGAAAGGTGGGATTAGGGAGCAAAGATGGGGAATTTATGCATTTTGGTTTGGGTAGAATTTGGGCTTGCAGAAGAATTTATGCTTAGTGGGTGAGCAGTATGATGATTGCTGATTTTTTTTGGGGGGGGGGGTGCAGGTGCAGTTTTATCACCTTCACCTTGAGTGCTAGATGACCTTGTCCCAGCACTGCCCGCACTGCACACAAGGCACTCAACAGATCTCCTCCCCACACATAACACATAGCTGAGATCAGATTCCCCACAGCATTGATCAATACAATGTGTAGCTAGCTGCAGTTGCAGTTCTGACCTGTGAAATTCCCTGATTGGATTGGCAGCTTCAGTAGCCAGCTACACATAGGACAGTCAGTGAAGAATGAATACTCCTCTCCTACAAGCTTTAACCAGTGCTCTGCTGGACGCTGAGAGAAGTTTATATTTACTTAAATATTTGCATTTCCATGTTCTGTGTACTGAGGGAGACCAGATATAGTGAATGCAGGGTACTGGGTTTAGTAACGCTTTAACATCTGGGGGCAATCAAGGGGTTTTTTGTGTGCCAAACAATGTGTAATGTGTGCTGCTTTTTACTACGGATCAGTTTGTTCTTTTACCCTACTTTGCAAGGCAAAGAAAGAAAGCTATCTTTCCTTCTGTACAGCGTCCTGTGTTGATTGCCAACACAGGGCTCTGGGCTGTGATTCGACACAGCTGATCAGCAGGTCCTGGCCATGAATCATTGGACGGGATCTGCTGACAAACTCCTGCCATGTCAAATCACAGGGGAGTAGGTGAGCGGAGGAGCACTCCCAGATCTCAGAAACAGGCAGCAATGTACAGGTATGTTGCTGTGCCGGTAGGAGCTGCCCCATCGCAGTATATGCACTGTGTGGGTCAGCAGGTGGATAACGTATGACCAGCCTAAGAGGGGTAAACAAAAAACTGACCGGTATCTCTGCAGATGTTAAAATGTTTTAATCCAGCTAAATATTAAATTATTTTTTTTTTTCATCCCAGATTTTTTCCTTGGTCGTTAAAATCCCTCCAAAATACTTCAGTATTTTATTGCTCTAAGTACACAAAAGTTTTTTTTTAACCAGTATATGAAAGAAAAAGTTTACATTATTAATGTTTACTGGTAAAGTTGACATTATTTGATTCGTGTTTATTGTTCTTATTATTTGTACTTTGCTTTTCTCAACTTTTTAAAAGTATTTTTAATAAATTATGAAAACATTTCTCAGATGTGATCAATTAGGGAGACACAACGTTCACAAATGAAATATATATGAGAAAGACCATTTGTGCTAAAACTTAATAAAGAATATGTTTTTATGCTTCAAAATATTTCCGAACGTTTTTTTAATTCAGCAGAAAAAGAATACCTGCAATTCCGCAAATTCACAAGCTGCCTTTCTTCAGAGAGACCGGGGTGTCCTTACCTGACAGTCCATTCTCCCTGCAGGTCAGGAAGGACTCCCTGTCCTTTGTGGCTGGGGGTAGTGGTGCACTGAAATTAAAATTCTGGATCGAAAATTCAGGATGCACTTGGCCAAAAACTGCAGCAGATCACCGGGTAAATGCAGTTGCCAGTTATCGGCTGCTTTTTCCTCACACTGTCACAGCATGAGGAAAGTACTATTGATAACCAGCAATTGTCAGAGGACGGATTGGCATTGATCATCAGGGAAATGATGATCAGTGCCCAGCAGTTCCACACACCAGTGCCACCCACCTGTCCCCAGCAGTGCCACCCACAAGTGCCAAGCAGTGCCACCCACAAGTGCCCAGCAGTACCTCCCTCCTGTGCCCATCAGTGCCTAGTAGTGCCACCCACCAGTGCACAGCAGTGCCGTCCATCAATACTGCCCAGCAGTGCCACCCATAAGTGCCCAGCAGTGCCTACTCATCAGTGCCACCTATCAGTGCCCATCAGTGCTGCCTATCTGTGCCACCTCATCGGTGCCCATCAGTGCTGCCTACAGTGCCCATCAGTGTTGCCTATCAATGCCCATCAGTGCTGCCTATCAGTGCAGCCTCATCAATACACATCAGTGAAGGAGAAAAATTACCTGTTTGCAAAAATTTTATAATAGAAACAAAGACATTTTTTGCTTTTTATTTTCTTATTGCATAAAAAAATAAAACATCCAGCGGCGAGTAAATACCACCAAAAGAAAGCTCTATTTTTGTGGGGAAAAAATGATAAAAATTTCATATGGGTACAGTATTGCATTGACAATTGACAATACTACAATGATTACAATTGACCGTGCAATTGTCATTCAAAGTGCAACAGCGCTGAAAGCTGAAAATTGGCCTGGGCAGGAAGGGGGTGAAAGTGCCCTGTAGGCAAGTGGTTAACCAGTGCTCTGCTGAAGTCACAAAACTGCTATACACTGCTGATGAGAAAAGGTATTTAGCAGTTTATATATATATATTATATTACTAGAATAATTGCACTTCCATGTTGTGTGTACTGTGGGAGAGCAGATATAGTGAATGCAGGGTCCGGGGTTTAGTAACACTTTAGGTTGCACAGTGAGTATAACAAGCATGCTTTCCTGCATATACAGGCTGGTTTTACTGTTATGGGTTTAATAACTCTATAAGAGCTCATGTACACGGGGCGTTTGGAAAACTCTTCTGAACGATGGAAACTGACTGCTGGAAAACGTAGGTTAAAAAACGTCAGTTTAGCCGCGTTTGCATGCCGCGTTTATGCGCGTTTATGTTTAGAAGCATGTTTAAAAGATAACCTCAGGAGATCTTCCCAACTGCCCAGAATGCACTGAAAAATTGTAAAAAATTAACTATTTCAGACATTTTGAGAGGAATAGAGAGATCAGAAGCAGAGAGAGCAGTATGTGTTGAGATGACCTGTCATGAGCATAATGTGGCACGTTCTACCATTTTTTCCTTCACGCAAAACCTGGAACTGACCGTGCTGGTGTACTGGGTCCACTTGAACACATGGAAAACGCTTTGCATGCATTTCTGATAATGAAAAAAGGCTCTGGACAGCATCTGGACATGGAGCAGTTAAAAAACGCTTCTAAACGCAAATGCTTTTAAACGCAGTTAGCCGCATTTACACGCGTTTACAAAAATCTGCTCCTGAATGCAAGTTTGGTGCGTTCAAAAAAAACGACTGTAAACTCAACTGCCTGTAAACGACTGTAAATGACTCTGTGTACATGGACACATAGGAAAACATTAGGGAAAGTTCAGGGGCTGCTGAAAAAAAATGCTGAACAGCTCCTGAATGTCAGTTTATCAGCTGCAGTGTACATGAGCCCGAAGTCTATAGCCCTCAAGTTGCATGAAAGGCAGACCAAAGTAGTGCATGAACTACTTTGAAGTTGCTGCAACTTTAAGTCGCACATATATAAATGGTTAACATTGAAAAACATAGGGTCTGACTTCTCATGCAACTTTCATGTCCAAACTCGTACAAGTGTGACCGGATTGTTAAAAAGACAAAAATATTATCGCATGGGGCAGAAAGTTGGAAAAAGCAGCATTTTCGCTTTTGAGTGAAAGTCCGCTTTAGGGAAAGTTCACCCCAGGAATCACACAGGAACGTGCTAATTTGAATGGGATAGAATTGCACTGCACCACTCCAAAAGTAGTTCATGCACTACTTTTAATAAAACACACAGCAACAGGATCACATGATACTTCTGTACCATGCGATCCAGTGCGACCTGCGTCAGGGGTGTTGTTAGCATTCCATTGACACCCACTGCAGATCTCAAGGACAGTGCATTTTAAATGTGGGTTTCCCGCACCGCATTCTCGTGTGTATGGCCCTTAAGGTGGAAGTTGATGGCCGTGGAATACAGGCCAAATGTTCTACATAAACTATAAAAATCTTGTCCCAAGCTGAGGAGAGGCGATGTGCACACACAATGGAGCGCCTATCGTTGGATGACATGAGCCTGAGGAGAGGACTACGAGGGAAAAAACCAAACACTGTTCCAATGACAATTATGCTAACAATTTACATATGTTGAAAAGCTCGGTAGGAAGTGGGCGCGTAGGTCAGACTCACAGAACTGGTACGCAGATTCACCGCAAAGAATGCAGCGGCACTTGTAATGAAATTCTGGGCGATCCTAAACTCTCCCTGAGGGGACATGGGATGCATTTTTGTAGGGACTAGGCCATATGGCTAGACAGTCCATCAGCATGTGCCCCGGTGCAGAAAGAAAGAGCCCTGGCTGGGGTGTGACATGAAAGTGAGTCCCCCATGTCATATCTTTCCTGGTGCCATAAACAGCGGAAGGCTGCTGTGCCGTGACCCCACAATGACCCGCCACTGTCACTGCTAAGGACTTGTCCCCAGAAATTCATTAAAATAAAATAGCAAATCTTCTCCCAGGGAATGATGTCACCCTCTGCAGACCATCAGAAAATTCTTATCAGCTGTTGACTCAGCATTTTCACAGTGTCCTCTCAGGAGGGGACATTGTACACAAATCTCCTAAGAGGTGACAAGTAGGGGGTCACCGCTCCTCGTCACTCAGTGTCAACGCCACCGAAAAGTCAGCACACTGCTCTAGGAACCCATCTCTTTTATTTCCATGCACACGTTGGACCACAGGCAGGGCCATGTTTAGACATCACTCCTCAACGAGGACACCTTTTTGTATAAGCTGGGTCCCCTCTGCCATTATTTTAGGTGAAAGTAATGCAGGAACTTGCTGTTGGAGGAAGCATGCTGTCAGCTTAAGGCCTCATTCACATAGGTGTGTCGATGCATTCACCCAAAGGATGGGTAGGGTTGCCACCTCATCCCTTTAAAACTGAACACATATTAATTACACAGGTTCTGGGGCTCATTAAGATGGTAATTAAACTCACTTAGTACCTTATCTACATTAAATTAGCCTCAGAACCTATGTAATTATTATGTGTTCGGTTTTAAAGGGATGAGTTGGCAACCCTAGTGATAAGCCATCTAAGCCCCACATTAGACGCATAGGTCCATACACAGTCCTATTCCTGTCTGTTGGAATGCAACTAGGGTTGCCACCTCATTCCTTTAAAACTGTACACATAATAATTACACAGGTTCTGAGGTTAATGCAGATAAGGCACTAAGTGAGTTTAATTACCACCTTAATCAGCCACAGAACCTATAATTAATATGTGTTCGGTTTTAAAGGGATGAGGTGGCAACCCTAGATGCAACAGCTGCATGGACATAGCCATTGGTCCCAGTTTGACAGCCATGCGGGTACATGTCCCTGAATGCAGACAATGTGCATTGATAATGAAATCACTGCATCCCAATAGACATGAATGGGATTGCCTGCATGCAGATGCACAGAACACCTGTGCATCCCATGCAGGTGAAGATGACCCTTCTCACATATACTATATTGCCAAAAGTATTGGTCAGCCTGCTTTTACACACAAATGAACTTTAATGGCAACCTTGTCTTAGTCCGTAGGGTTCAATATTGATTTAGCCCGCGCTTTGCAGCTATAACAGCTTCAACTCTTCTAGGAAGGCTGTCCACATGGTTTAGGAGTGTGTCTATGGGAAGGTTTGACCATTCTTTCAGAAGTGCATTTGTGAGGTCAGGCACTGATGTCGGATGAGAAGGCTTGGCTCACAGTCTCCGCTCTAATTCATTCCAAAGGTGTTCCGTTGGGTTGAGGTCAGGACTCTGTGCAGGCAAGTCAAGTTCCTCCACCCACAACTTGCTCCTCCATGTCTTTATGGACCTTGCTTTGTGCACTGATGTGCAGTCATGTTAGAACAGGAAGGGGCCATCCCCAAACTGTTACCACAAAGCTGGGAGCATGAAATTGTCCAAAATGTATTGGTATGCTGACACCTTAAGAGTTCCCTTCACTGGAACTAGGGGGCCAAGCCAACCCCTGAAAAACAACCCCACATCATAATCCCCCCTCCACCAAACTTTACACTTGGCAGAATGCAGTCAGGCAAGTACCATTCTCCCAGCAACTGCCAACCCCAGACATGTCCATCAGATTGCCAGACAGAGAAGTGAGATTAGTCACTCCAGAGAACACGTCTTCACTGCTCTAGACTCCAGTGGTGGTGTGCTTTACACCACTGAACCCGGCACTTTGCATTGCACTTGGTGATGTAAGGCTTGGATGTAGCTGCTTGGCCATGGAAACCTATTCCATGAAGCTCTCTAAACACTGTTGTTGTGCTAATCTGAAGGCCACATGAAGTTTGGAGGTCTTTAGCTATTGGCGACTTCTGCGCACTGTGCGCTACAGCATGCGCTGACCTTGTTCTGTCATTTTACGTGGCCTACCATTTCGTGGCTGATTTTCTGTTGTTCCCAGTTTCTTCCACTTTGTTATATACCACTAACAGTTGACTGTGGAATATTTAGTAGCAAGGACATTTCAGGGATGGACTTATTGTGCAGGTGGCAACCTATCACGGTACCACGCTTGAATTCACTGAGCTCCTGAGAGCGACCCATTCTTTCACAAATGTTTGTAGAAGCAGTCTGCATGCCTAGGGGCTGGATTTCATACACCTGTGGCCATGGAGGTGATTGGAACACCTGAATCCAATGATTTGGAGGGGTGGCCGCAATACATAATGTAGGTTACTTGTAGATGATCCAGCTCTGAGGTCACCACAAGAGGATAAAAAAAAGTAGGGTTTGTAAACTTGGTGTCTTGGTGCTTCCACCCCTTACCCTGCTGTCCCAGGTATAGCACTGTGAGCACCATAATACTAAACACAGCTCGGGCCGCAGGTGGAGTTTGGGAGGCAGAGTAAGGCTACATGTACACTATGCTCTCTTGGACGCCAAGCTCTCCTGGCAGCTTAAAAATGCTATAGGTGGAAAAAACACATGTAAACACGGAACCGCATTTAGCTGCATTCAGAGTTTGGACGTTTATTCATTTGATTGGCCAGAGTATTTTCTATTGACATGAATAAACACCCAAGAGCTAAACAGGGCTAGCATATACAGTGAAGGAAATAAGTGTTTGATCCCCTGCTGATTTTGAATGTTGGCCACCAGGTTTGCACACATCTCAGGAGGGATTTTGGCCCACTCCTCTTTGCAGATCCTCTCCAAGTCATTAAGGTTTGGTGGCTGACATCTGGCAACTCAAACTTTCATCTCCCTCCACAGATTTTCAGTTGGATTAAGGTCTGGAGACTGGCTAGGCCACTCCAGGACCTTAATGTGCTTCTTCTTGAGCCACTCCTTTGTTGCCTTGGTGGTATGTTTTGGGTCATTGTCATGCTGAAACACCAATCCACGACCCATTTTCAATGCCCTGACTGAGGGAAGAAGGTTCTCACCCACGATTTGACAGTACACTGCCCCGTCCATCGTCCCTTTGATGCGGTGCAGTTGTCCTGTCCCCTTAGCAGAAGAAAACACCCCAAAAGCAGAATGTTTCCACCACCATGTTTGACAGTTGGGATGGTGTTCTTGGGGGTCATAGGCAGCATTCCTCCTCCTCCAAACACGACGAGTTGAGTTGATGCCAGAAAGCAC